GAGACATGTTGCCAGCTAGGTCACGTATTCACTGCAGAGTTCGACCCAGCTGCTGACAAAAAGAATTTCCTATGCTCATCTGACACCAAGGTGACACCATGAACTAGCTTACAGATTTCTAGAATTTTCAACTGTTCATCCTTATTCACCAATAGGCAATTTTAAGCATTGGGCTCGATTAGTTAATTGCAAAGGAAAAAATAAAATAAAATTAATCTAAATACAATTCTACTAGACGTTTTAATTGTAAGTTTAAAATGTGTATTTTCTCTTTGAAAAAAAAAAAGTTAATAATATTAATACCTCAACCCTTGAGGACAGAGCTGCAATAAAAAGAGAAACAGGACTGGGAAGGGGAGAACTGTGCCGGCATCAACTTCAAGCCTACCGTAGATGGTGGGTTATATTCAATCCTCTGAAATCTCTTGTACTCAGCCATTTCACCAGACAAACAAGATATCCAAATGCTGCAAGCTTCAGGACAGTGCTTCCCCCACCAGAAGTGCTTCTAGCACTCCTCTCTTTGCTCATTCCCTTGTGGCTCCGCTGTCTGTGCCAGAGCAGTCGCCTACTGGGATGCAGAATCTGACAAGGCAGGAATGCTGATTGACAGGTCTGTAAGTGGACTGGAGGAGCCAGGAAAGCTGGTCTGCTGTCAGTTTTTCCTAAACATACTTAACTCTAGCAGAGGAATATTTCTACAGACTGATCAAGAAAGCAGATGAATATGCAGCTATGGCTCTCAGGGAAGGAAAAAATATTCTAAGATGTTACTGATGGACTGTTCAGTCAACAAGCCAAAAACATTATGTTCCTTGAATATATTCTTCTAAATTTTTTAAATTTTTGTACCATCAGGTTTCCTACTGTATGTTATTTCATGTTTAGCTGCTTAAAAAAAAAGTAACATTTTATGGGGATTTCAACCAGAACAACATGCGTTCTAAATAAATGTGCCCTTCATAGGAAGACTTCTAATTTTCAAAATTCATGAAGAATGCAATTTTCATGAAGCTTTATTAAAACCTTTCCAGCTATAATTTCACATCTGCCCATATTATACCATCCAAAATACATTATAAATGACATGTTTAGGACTGCTGAGCATTTACATGAATCTGCATCAATAATTTTGGAAAGCAGGATTAGTTCGAACATCTCAGGGCTTAAATGCTAACAGCTATGTAAAAATAAAGACAATTCTATTTTCTTCTGAATTGCAAGTGAGCAACCAAACACCAACTTGCAGAATGATAAAATAAATGGGACTGTTTGTTTCCAGTCTGAGAAAGAAAAGATCAATGCAAACATGTAGCAATTGCAACTTTTAGCATCTCTCTCTCTTAACAGCTCAGGAGGCATTATAAAGCACGGCAATTGCAGCAATTCAACAAGCCTTCCTGAGGAAGGGAAGGAGGGAAGAAGGGAGGGGAGAAATGCTAATCTCTTTCTAGAAACCAGCAGTGTGATGTGTGCCTCCAATTACGCCTGGTTCATTGCTTGATCCAGCATCATCTGAGGATATATTGCTCAATGTGCTCTGATGTAACGTGACACATGTGGCAGAATCAGCCTTCTCTGTTCTCAACACAAACACTTCGGACACCAGAGAACTTGCCCATACTTCCCACTAACCCATTACTAGAACTTCAGCACAGCTCGAGTACCTGCCTTGATAGCTGCCCATAGTGCAGCAGGAAGATCTCACACACCTATTCTGAAAAGGGTGGCTTCCTTTCTACTTACACAGAGATTTTCCTTATCTTTCTCTTTTCAAGAATTTCCCAAGAGATGTGTAGAAAACTTCCAAACTGACTGCCAGCAAGCAGAAACAACAAATCTGTAAGTCTCTAGATGTAAAACATCCTGAACCTCTGAAAGTTGATCCCATCAGGGTGAGGATGGACATGAGTGGGTCTGCAGTCTAGTGATTTTGCCTGGCATTTGCTCATGGTACAAAAAAAAAAACAACTGCCTAGATAAACCCGCACTGTTGGGCTGCTATGCAGTTGCAAGGAAGTAGGTAAGAAAACGAGTCAGTTCTGGAGCTTTCCTTAGCCTTGGGCTCCATGAGGTCTTGAGGTGCAACCCCCGCACTGCTGCCCTGCAATGGCAGCTGCAGTGGATCTCCAAAGCTAGCAGTGCTGGCCGGGAAACAGGCTTTCAGCGCAGGGCAGCTCAGGGGCCCTTGGGCCTCTGCTGAGCACAAAGCCTTCCACAGTTTTGTTCGTGTGGACAAAAAATTCTGGATAAGAAGCCCACACTCCGAAGATCAGTCTCCTTCAGCATATCCTTAAGAGTCCACAGTGTTATGACAAACTAATTGCATGTGTTAGGAGAAGGCTGTTACTTTGGCTTTTTCCACAGAACTTTAAAAAAAGTGTTTGATTTTAAAGCACATACACTTACAAATAGTGAGGGAATCAGCTACAAAGAGACCACACAAGCTGTTCCAGCCTTCCACAGAAGTCTGGGTTTTAAGTGTAAACACACAGCCACCTCTTCAGTTTGCCCTTTCATCTCTTCTGAAACAGTTCTTAACACACACACGCTCTTCATTTCCTAACCAGCTGATCATATACAAGTTTTGGTTTTGTAGCTGGAAAACGCTAAAAAAAGATAAAAGTAAAACACAACCTTGATCCTGAAACAGAAGTCAGCAAGGACACTGTGGGCGTCTCACGAGCCAGAGCTGGAAGCCAGCAGCTTGTGCTGCAACCTGATCTGCCTGCCCAGGCGTTGGGAGAGCCATTTATAGGTGTCTCGACTGGGCAAGCTGTGTGGAGCTGACCACGTGCGCCTGGCTGCCAGCAGGGCGATCGGATGGGTGGGTGCCAAGGGAGGGCAGCTTCTGCCCCTTGTGCAGCCGCTCCTGCACCAACCGGCCTGCAAGCACATGTCTGTTCAGGAGAGCAGCACTGCTATTTTGTTCACAGGCTGGGAAGAAAGGGTGAAAGACTGGGGAAAAAACAGGCAGATTTGTGTCTGATCTTGCCGCTAATCCCCCAAAATTGGTGACAGTACACTGACATGATCATGTAAGGTACTGCATGTAACAGTGAGTAGCTTGGTTCTCCATGGGTGATCTGGCAATGCCTTGCCATGGTATTAAGCTAATTGTGCCAGCTAATGACCTGTCTCAAAGAACAAGGTAAAACATCTCAGAGCAGGAAACTTATGGCTGTGTGACAGAAGAGTCTCCTCTGAAAAGCCAGTCTGAGTCAGTTTCTCTCTCTCCCATCCCAAGATTTTGGAACTATGAAAAAAAAGTCTCTATGTTAAATTCAAGGACAAACCAAACAGCAGTCATTCCTCTCAGACTAAACCTCAAGTATTGCAACTTTCACAAAAAAGATTATGCTCTATATTTTTGGTGGTAAGTCACTGGCTTGTTTAACTACTTTTTGTCATGAGTTGAAAATAAGAACGCTCATATTCACTGATTCAGGGTTTTATAGGAAATGGAGACCTTAAAGTTGCAACCACTCCCAGGCAGGAAACTCCTTGCTAGGCATCTCTTGCTGTCTGGCAGAACAGAGCAATTATGCAACCATGCCCTGTCCAACAGAAGTCTCTAAGCTTTCTTCCAGACGGGATCAAATCAAATCAAGAATGTTCCACCAACAGTGGAAAGTCTGACCTTATTCCCTTCCTCTCTGCCTTCATCTGCCTGTGTAAACCAGCATGGTATAAATGAAGTTAGAAGCTTACACTGACTAAGCATCCATTACATAGTAAAAAATACCTCTTTAATAATACTGTAAAAAGAAAAAGTAATTTGAGATTCTTTCATTGTATTAAAATAACAGAAATTCTCTATGTACAAAAACTGGGAGCTCTAGAAGTCGGAACTGAGTAGCATTCTCCATTTGTCTCCACTTGATCTGAAGGCTTGTTCATGCAGCTGGAAGGTTAAACAGTACTGTAAGTCACTTCATTCTTCATCCTCTGGGCTAGGATGGCCAAAAAGGACACCAATTTGTGACAGCCAAGGGCATGCTTTTTCTGAACCATATAGTTCATAAGGAACTGGGATGAAATCCCAAAATTCATTTCCCTCAGGCCTTCAAACAGCCATGAGATGCATTAAATTTCACCACAGAGTAATGAAAGAGATTTTAAAAAAACAGCCACCACAGACTCAGGCCAAGGATGGACTACGACCAGCAATTCTGCAGGGACAGTTTCCTATTTCTGCTCCCTGACATACAAACTAGCTTTGTTCGACTTATTCCGAAATCCTCTCATATAAAGAAAACACACAGAGAAAATGACTGGTTCAAACTCTGCTCTTTTTCTCATATCCTGCCAAAGCATCTACATGGCTAGACTTGCAAGTAAACGCATTTCATCTGTTATTTACATTAAAATGTATTCCAGATAACATAAACCTCTACAAATATATGGGCAAACACAACTAATCGTAATGGAGACTGCTGAAGGTAAGAGAACGGAAACAGATAAGAAGTTTAGAGATCTAGACTTATGCAGTACCATCCCCATACCTATTTTTTGATAATTCCTTTGACTTAAGGTTCTTGCATCCACCACACAAAGAAATCTATGAATAGCAAAGTGCTGTGCTCCCTCAAGAATAAATATGTATACGTCCCAAAGCACTTGGTTAACACAAATATAGAACAGACAGCAGGATGGACTAGCATCTAAATCTGCAGTGGCAGGAATTATTACCAAATAGTCAGCCAGAGAAAACTGCTCAGACGAGAGGGGAAAACAAGCTGCGAACATTATTTCACTGATTTAGTTGAATCTCCAGACTGATGGCTCTTCAGAAAGGTGAAACGGAAAGTTTGGCTTTTGAGGTTTAGACATCAGCAGCAGATATTCTTCTCTGCAGTCATTTTACAATGTTTCACTCCCACTCTCCTCCACACAAAAGGCCAGGGTATTCATCACACATCTGGAGACCATAATGCTCATCACGACCTGCCATACAACACGCAGTGCTCTAGCAGTAACCATGTTCACCTTCAGCTTACCTGTTTTATGCACTGCAGCCGGTCATTGGTCTGCTGTATGTGCCTGTCCATAGAGTTCATTTTGATTGTCTCCACTTGGCTTCTACCTGAAAGCCATTAAAATCCCTCAATCTGCAAGACAAAAAAAGACAAAGACCATTGAGCACAGTCCATGCACTTCTACCCCTTCTACAGCAAGTGTAATTGTGAGATCTACTTGCCAGAGATTTGTACTTCCAGGTGACACTGCTGAGAACATCACTACAGCAGCGAGGCAGAGCTGCCTGCAAGAACACCTGATCATGTTGCAAGATGAAAATAACAGTAGTAATAATAATCACAATAATAATTGACACTTTGGGTTTTGCAAGGCCAAAGGCATGGGGATAATTCCTAATCTTCCTCTAGGAGAAAACATCATCCATGAATATTAAATGGACAGGATACAGCAGAATATTATGTGGCTAAAAGTAAAAAAATACTTGGCTTTTTGGCTGAGTTAACGTGTAAGTTCTGGAGTTCTGGACTGAAAATAAAAGCAAAAGGTATGCTTTGGATGTCCTGCGATATTAAAAATGGCAGACAAATTTAACAAGCCCTTGAAAAGGTTGTGACAGTGGCAAAACAAGGATTGGGATTCATGACTCAGGCCTCTCTGGAGGACTAACAGCTCCAGGTGCACAGTCCCACATCTCTAGGGCTGGCTTTCCACCGAGGATCTGAGCAGCTCCCACTTCTGAGAGAACTGGGCTCTCCTGATACCAGAATAAGAACAAAATACTTGCTACTTCTGACTGAACACGTCCTCCATTCTTCAGTCTAAAGCTGTACAACCTGAGGCAAACTAAAGCTTCTCTACGACTTTAAAAGAAATAATCTAGAAAATGGAAATGAAAGCTCAGAGTCAAGTTAGAAGACAATTTCTCTATCGCTGTAGCACCTTACTAGTTGCTACAGCTGAAGAAAATCACCAGATGAGCAACAACATGCTATAAGGATCTTTGGTCCCCTAAGCACCCTGCTGTGCTTGACATGCCAGTGAAGTGCTGGTACAGAACAATGCACATCAGTGCTCTCTGTATTTGGAGGTACTCCTGAGCTGCATGTTCCATCACCCTGCACGTTCACATGCCGGAAATACGCATGAGCTTGGAGCTGGGTGGGCAGGAAAGCAGAGCAGGGCATACCAAGCACCTCTCCTCTCATTTGGCCTGGCCTGCAGTGAGCCCTGGCCTTGCAAGGCAGGGATGGCTAAAATCCTGCTGCAGTTCAGACAAGGAGTATCAGACACAAAGAGGCAGGTGAGCACGAGGGAGCCTCCTTGCCATTCCTCCCATCTCTGGCCTTAATCTGTCTTCATCTGTAGCAGCACAACAGCAGATCACACAGACAGGAGCCAACAACTAATCGCCAGTTTCTACCCGTAATTCATATTACCCAGCACTCTGCACTGTAACTCCCATTTATTTATGTTTTAAGCAGAATCGCATGGGACTCCAGCCTGCACTTAATAAGCTGAGCAGATTTAAGTGCTTTTTTTCTACAACTCACTTCTCAGTGAGGGGCAGAGAGATGCTTTACACATACATATATAAAGTTGCCTGCTTCAATCACTTTCATGGCATCTAAAATGGAAATGAAACCATAAATATTGCACACTAGAATACAAAACCAGCCTTTGCCTACAAATTCCCACATCCTCCTACTGTCACAGAGTGGCAGAGCCTAAGAAGCCGCATGCCTATGCTCAAGAATGGGCAGCCAGCACAGATTCAGAAGTTCACAACCAAATGCTGTACTCGTATACAACTTTATGCTAGAAGAAGCAAGGTGCTGGGCTAGCTCAGGAACCTCGCCAAGGCACCCAGCAGTTTTGGTATTTAGAGGGTTGTCCAGGGTAGAGTTCTCCAAAAAGAGAAGAGGCAGCAAATCTCCCAAGTACCTGCCCCGCTGGAGGAGCTGGCTGCTCACCACTCCCACAGTCTCCCCAGAAAGCACCTGGCACAGCCTGGCACTGCCTGCACCCAGCTCAGCACTTCAGCTTTCCCACCCCACAGCCCCCAAGCACAGGGCTGTAACAGCCAGACAGCCCTCAATGCCTGGAGCTCACATCCCGCACCGCTGTGCCTCGTTGATAACATCCCTCTGGGGCTCCTGCCGGATTAGGCTCAGGGAAAGAAATCTTTTCTGCTAGACAGCTCAATGAGGTCTTACAACAGCAGCTCAAGCTCCTCATCTCCCCACTCTAGAGACAAGAGCGTTCAGGAAAGCACTCCTGTCAATAAATTAAAATACTCATGAAATGGTAAAGCCAGTTTCACATACAGGTATAATTGCTTGACTACGCCACTGCCACCTTCTCAACAGCAAACACCATCCAAATGTTCTTTAGAAAATGTGAATGTAAAAAAGTAAGTAAGGCAGTCTTATCTGCCTGTAAGAACCCCAAACAAACCTCAGCAGCCACAAAGTTTAATCTCCCAGTGGACAGCAGAGGTATTTATCAAGACATAAGCTAGCCTAGACATGACACCACGTCAGCAGTGATCTATCTTACAAGCCAGGACACATCATCTGCATTTTAATTGACCATCGAGAAAGATGGAGAACACGTTGAAAACAAAAATGTACAAAGGCGCATAGATCTGTTGAAATATTTGAAGAAATGCAAAATGCAGGATCTTTTTTCTTTAAAACAAAGACATCAGAATGTTTATGCTTAACAAGCCACCAGGTAAAATATCATATTTCTGGTTGTCATGGGATTTGTATTTTATTGGTGTCACCAATACAAACTCCTCACTGCCATGCAGTTACACAAGGAAACCAGGAGCTAAGTTGAAAAAAGCATCTTTTCCAATCAACTGATATGCATCCATACTCTAGACTGCCAGAAAGAGTGGTTTCCAAGAAAAGCCAAATGCAGCAGTGCTCAGACTCAGGGCAAGTCACATCAGGAGCTGCCTCTGGTGTTGCTGGCAATAGACTTCAGGGCTGGAAAACAGCAGAGCGATTTCAAACAGAAATTGCCTTTGTGTACTGCCACTCATGCCTACAAAATCCTGCACGTTGATTTATGGACTGCATATACAATATTACACGAATCGTGTGCCCTGCAGTTAACTGTAAGCAAAAGAGAAGCTTGCTATCAGCTACCTACGCCGCAGTTTACTGTTGTATTTATCCAAATTGTCACATCTCCCACATGCGGAGGTCTCCCAAAGCTCATCTGCAAAAGGACAGGGCAGAACTGTTGAACTGCTATGTGTGCATCCAAGGGGATGCCCAGGGGCAGGGCTGGGAGGCAGCCCCTGCACTCCTACAGACAGGTCATACCATGCCTTCTGCAAACTGATCAGCTCTGCTTTCAACACAGTGGCTCGCACTGAAAAGCACGCTCTGACTCACCCTTTCCTTGGTAGCTAAGAGTATTCTCACTTCAACCCCTACACACACTTCTCACTGCTCTCTGGCACAACCCGCCCTCCCCTGCCCCATGCTGGCAGACAGCTGCTATCTTTTCAGAGCCTCCAGCTCACAACTTTCAGCAGCTCGATTAATTTCTTCTCTTCTTGTAAAGAGACGCCCTCCTTCCTCCGTGACCATGGTCAGGGAATAGTTCTTTCACAAACCAAATGACCAAAACCACGTAGGAGGGCTCACCTCGTACAACGACACAAATGCTTACTCCACACTCAGAAGGTCCTGCCTTGTCCCCCCCAGACTTACCCTTACCTCTCCATCAAATACATCAAAAGGGCAGCAAATCGGAAAAAAAATTCAGTGAACATACTGGGTCGAAGTCATTTATGCTACAATAAGAGTAGAACTCATTATCAGGAAAGCATTATTTTCTGGAAATTATTCTTTCGTAGACCTCAGTAAGAATTAAAAGATTAAACAAGGGAAGTGAAAATTATCGTACAGATCTTAAGTTTTACCAAAGCAGAGTAAGTGTTTTGACACCAGCCTGTTTTGCCTGGAAAAAATATTAGCAGCATTACACTCCAGTAGCTACACCTAGTGCCGTACACCAGTCCGGATCCTCATGGGCACATTCACATCCTGAAGTTTCAAAAACGTCTTTTCTGTCAATCTTGTACTGTTTTGAAAGTAGCAACAAGATCATCTTACTGGAGAATAATGATGCTTAAGATACAGAAAGGCTGGTGGGGCAGCAGAAGGGCAGCCTTGCACCCAGCTAAGTGCTGAGCGCTTATCAGGTCATGGGTGAAGTGACTTTGCCGGCTCTCATGCTCACCTCTGGGGCATCAGTGCTGGAAACCACACTAAGATTCAGGCACAGCAAGTGGCTCAGGGGACAGCAGGGGATGTTGCTGATCAGGATTAAGGGCTCTGACAGAACAGCACAGAGAAGGGAATTGCACAGGGTGCTTCGTAACAAATCCCCTCTGTTCCATGCACACATTAGCCAGAGAGGTTGTATGCTGCTGCTTTATATGCTAGCTCCATCCAAGAGGATCAACAAAAAATAAGTGTTCGCAGCACCTTCTGGTTGTTCAGCAATAAAAAGCCCCATTCTTCCGCTGTCTTTTCTGAGGTAAAGACCCAATCTCTCTTGCTCTTAAAAAAAAATGGAAAAAAAAAAAGTGAATTGTTCTTTGCCTTCCTTCTTCCCTCCCCTCTAGCATGCGAGTTTATAGCCCTAGGCAGTAATTAAAGAGCCCTCATTTACATATTTATGATGTCTCAAAAATGGAGAATGTGTTTTTTTAAAGGAACAGATGTATCGACCTGTTAGGCATTTTTTTTTTTAACCCTAAGTGGATGGAATCATGTTAAACCATTCCTACAGTATACTCTTCTATATTAAAAAATAATGAAATCGCATAGCAGCTAAAAAGAAATTTCACAAGCTTCTGCTACACTATGTTGGCTAAAAATTCAAGCAACGTTTGCAAACACTCTACCAGAAATTGGACTTCTGGTAACACATTTGTGAAGAACAATTCAGTAGAACGTGTTCTCTGCCAGTCTTTAAAAAAAAAAAAACAGGCATTTCTTCACTGTTTCAAAATGCTGACATTTCAGAAAACACTACAATTTAAAAAGTAAGTATGATTTTAGTTCTGGGTTTGGATAAGTCTTGCTCAGAGGGACAGCTGGAAGCA